ACACACACACACACACACACACACACACACACACACACACACACACAAACATAAATTATTCACGACACACTTTGATGCAGTTGTCATTAGATATGAGGACATTTTTAAGCATTTCTTGTTGTCATTATTAAACCTATGGAGCAATCAAAAGTGCTTCACTAAGAGGTCCTAGCTGGATGATAAATCCGTATATACTATAAGATGTAGCTCTGTCTTCAGTACTTAACTTAAATATATTCATAAGCAGTCGATGAGCAGCGATGAACTCAGCAGGCATTGTAACACACTGCAATGTATTCATCTTTATGTATTCCTAATCAGCATGTGCAGCAGTCTATCCTGAATTTAGGCTCGTACCGATGTGGTCATCTGTATTGGCAGCTCTACTCTGCATCTACTCTCAGGACTTTGAGGGCTAATTAAATTGAATCAGAACATTGAAATAAATGCTGTTGATATGTGGTCCATGTGTAATTTCTGAGCATAAACGCAGGCTGTGTTGGTGTTGATTTGTGAACCGCGACCCTACTAATGTAGCAGAGTTGCCACAAATGTTTATGCACACTAAAGTAAAAACACTCGGATTTGTCATCAGTGAGATTTTAGGGCTCACTTTGCCCACTGACAGGGTCCAGTTGTAAAATAACACATCCACATAAGTAACACAACTCGATGAATGCTAAATTATGCAATTAATTTCAAAAGTATTTGCATTCATGCAAATCGTATCCCTCCCAAATGGACTTGCAATATGGGATGCTCTGTTCTCATTAGCTGACCCAAATCTCTTCCTTGTAACTCTGGATTTCATCAAAGTTTAGTCAGGATCTAATATTTCCTTTCAAGTTAACAGTAAACCGCTGATTAATCATGTTTGAATAAGGAGTGCAACATGCCAAATCTGGTTATATGGTTTTCAAGGACATCATCACACAGCCTGTGCCAACAATAATACAAATATCCATATGAACTCATGAATAGATACCAGTAGCATATGGGAATGTATTCATGAGCATATTACCCACGGTTCGTTATTCGACGTCCGGTCAGGAAACAGGAGACGTGAAAACTTTTCATGTTCTTCATGTAAAAATAAGGTACAAGCAAATTAACCGCATTTGTGGATTCTCCTTCTTCAGCAAATAACTTGAAGCTTTTCTGTGTTTCAGCAAAACGCATTTTCAAGTTGCAACGTGATTTCTCCCCTAACAATTTATGTGCATTTGTTTATTGCTGATGCATGTAAAAAAAAAAAAAGACTGATGCTTAACCATTACATTGTTCTGCAGATCTGAAGATACAAGATGCACCGCCTTTTCATCGCAGTAAATTTCACTTACTGTAGTTTAGTGTGTGTGTGTGTGTGTGTATGTGTGTGTGTGTGCACTGAGCTGCAAGATTAAAGAGGAAGCCCAGGGGCATTTGGTTCATTTGCAAAGCAATTGCTTTTATGTACAAAAAGCCCAATTCACTGTAGGTATTGTAAAAGCCCTCCGTTTAAGGAACATGACATTAATTCATTGTTTAAAGTAACTGCACCTTCTCAGCTCACACTTAATCATTTATGTTGGAGGAATTGTGTCCTCCCGCTATTTAGTATTATCAACCCAGAAAGCAAACCCTTCCGTATTTAACACAGTTAATTGTGTGGCACGGCATTTGTTAAAGCGAATGAGGAAGCTTGCAACTAAAATGGATTATTTCAGGTTCTGCGTGCAGTTAGGCCAATGTGGTGCAGCACGACTGCAGTTCAGCCTCCTCTCTATTCTTTTTATAGCATGCACACATGATGGGAAGAATATTCAGTGATTCCTCACTCTTAAATAATTCAACAAATTCCATTTCTTACATATTAAAAAATGTACCGTATGTGGAACTTCAAAATGATAAAACAGCATAAAATACTATTTTGAAATCAAAGCACCTATTGCATTGGCTCTCTGGGTTTTGTATGTGTACAATTGGACTACAATCTGAGTTCCCCACAGTGTGTAAAGGAGGCACCAGCAGCGTTTCGACTGTAGTCTAATCCTCAGACATGCACGGCAAGTAACAATAATATTTATAGGATTGAAAAAAGGAGGTAACACTGGGAATCGCTATCGGATTTTTCCTCTCTTTTGCAGACTGTCACGGGAAAACTGTGAATATGTTACAAAAGCATTGTGCGCCATGGTGAACAACAGATCTGAGAACAAGGTCAGACTCCTAAGCATGGTCTAAAGAGACTCTCTTTCAGCAAAAAGGGAAAGAAATATAGAGAAAAGAATGAAAAGAAACAAAAGCTTTCACCAAATCGGCATCAATTTAAGCCTACAGCACAGATATAAAACTGTTTTACTTCAGAAATTCAAATGAGACACTTTTATTTACTGCCACTTATTATTCTTTATTCACACGTGCTAAAATGACCCTTAAACAAACATCCCTGTCAGGATTGTGAGCAGCAGTCTCTCCAGTAAGGCCAGTAAGTATTTAGTAAAGGATTAATGCGGGAGGCCTTGATTGCGTTTAACCGAACAGGACCCAATTAGCATAATAGGCCCTCTTTCATTCTCTTTGAAGTCCAGAGCATAGAATAACAAATGTATATGAACCACCAGCCACACGTCAATACATGGAAATGCCACGATCCTTGGAGGAGGGTCTTGGGTGATTCTTTTTTTTTTTTTTTTTTTATGCAGTAGGAGGCAAACGCATCCATTTTTTTTTTTTTTTGCAAAATAAGCAACATTGAGGATGCAGTTGGTCTCAGAGCCACGAGGGCCGGCAGGCTCCGCAGGGCCCCGGTCCTGCAGGAGAGATGGAGGCAGGGAGAGAGCGCGTGGCTGCTGATGGAGGCGCATCCTTTCTCTCAGGTGCTTTCAAAGCGCACCATGCGGCGTCGAGTGAGAGTAATTACTCTTCAATTAAAGATAAAGATGTCACCTGGGAGGGAGCTGAGGCACAAAGGCTCCGTGAGCAGAGGAGGGCGAGCGCAGCGCACGGTTCAGCGTGCGCGCCGCATTCTGTTGCTAAATGCAGCAGGGTGGTTCCTGATAAATGTAACATAAATATTTGTGCTGAAAGCTGCAGCATTTGGTAATAGCAGCCCTGTTGCCCCTTCTATCTTAAAACACATTCTCTTTATTATCTTCCTTTTGAACCTGAAGTTCAATACTTGTATTTCAAGAGGTTTCTTTTACAATTGCAATGGAGACATAGTTCATGATTTAAAGATATGAATCTGTACTTCAGAATCCAGAGTTATTAGCATCCACCTTCTAGGTTGAAAATACACGGAATTAAAAATGCCCTTTTGAGATGGAGAAAGCTTTGAACTTAAGAAACATTTCAAAAAAGCCTCTCTCTTTTTTTATATTGAAAGTTCACCCCCTTTGAGCGTGCCATAGTTTGGTTTCTCTTTCAAATAATAGAATGTAGCTTAATAGATCGAGGCAATCAATGCAAAGGTTCAAAGAGAATCTTGGAGCAATGAAGACTCCACAGTTTGCACGTTTCCTTTGTATGTGATTTGAATATAGATACAGTTGATAAATGGCAATAACGAAATACAATACAAAGTTGTTCAGTGGTCAAAGGTGATAAATTAAAAATCACAATTCTGACATTTCAGAGTAGGAACAGTGGAAACTCTTTTAGAATGAAAGCTGTGTTCTTACTGTTCCTCTGACTGGAAATCTTTTGCCATTGAAAGCTGCAGCATTTTGGATTTATTCTTACAATTTGTCCTTCCCTCCTAACAACACTAACAGAAGACCTGTCCCAATAAATCGTAACAACACCAGAGACTCTTGGTTGGTTATACAACAAAAACTAAAATGGCAGATCTATGCACTCCCTAGGTCATTTTTTCTGCAAACGTTTCATATTTGTCTATTGTTGATGGACACAATAACAGAGGATGAGACCACGATTTCACCTAAAAATCATAATCTCAGGGAATACCGATGAGGCACAATCAGTGGATAAAGTGAAATAGCAGTCCGAAATTATTACTGACAAGCATCAGAAGTCAGATCTGCCTTGGTTGTCTGATCTTGTCAAAAGTGTCTCAGGATGAGCATCGTCCGGCGACGCCACTGTATGCATTTTCAGTCAATCTTCAGTTAAGATCAAAATAAATAAAATGAAAACATATCTAATGCACCAAATACTGTGTTAATATCTTTAATATTTACATTTTTATAAATGTCACTTTCCCAATCTTCCCATATCAGACAAAAAATATGTTGAAGGTTATTTTCACCATTATGTAAGCAAGAATAAAATAAATTTTGGCAAACCTAAAGAAAACTGGCAGTGCTACAGTACATACATGTGAGATTTCAAGGTGTTTGGGATAAGAATATGATCTGAGTACCAACAAAAATAAGATTTTCAAAATATTTTCATGGTGCACTTCGTACGTGTCGCTCTTAACATGTTCTACATGAAGGAAAAGCTAAATCCAGTTGCTAACTTTCAGCTATATCATGAAATATGATACAGTTCAAAAGTGCAATGACCAGTAGAAAATAGTCTTTATTATTATGAGATTAACATTTGTTAGACACTTCCTTTGTTAATAAGTGCAGCAGCTCCCAGAAAAAATGCCTTCAGCAGCAGCTAGAAACACTCCAGACGGGTCAGTGCTGAGTGAGCCTCAAGTTAAATCTGAACTACTGTTTTTCTATCGCTGCGTTTAAGACATTCCCAATCAAACCAAATCCTGTTTTCTCCAGTGACTCCATCGGCCTGTTGTCTCTGTGGGGTAGCACCTCAGTGTCCGGAAATAGCTTGAGCTGAGAAGTGACGAGAAAGACAAACATGGTAAATACATGGAAGTGGATGATAATGACTTAATTCATTAAAATTAGATCTTTTGCCAGCCAGAAAATAATTGATAATATATAAAGACTTGAAAGTTTTTCCATCTTTTAAGGAGTTACTGTGCTTTTGGTGCAACATACCTGCACACTCCTTGCTGAAGAAGGTGTCAGAAGACAGTCATAAAAATATCATTGTCAGATTTGAGGCAAACATAGCTGCCACACGAAGGCAAATGCCAAATAACAATTAGATATTGCGTATGAATGCGTAAACACAGCTTTCCACACGATTTACACAGTGATATAATCTTCCACTCCTTGAAACACACTTGAAACTACCACAGAAACAGCTATTTAAGCTCTTGTGTGGAGGCTGCACTGCTATTGGCTGGCGAACAGCCGGGAAATGACGTTGCAGTCTGGTCATTTGTGCTGCAATTCTGTGTCGTTAATACCTCGTATAAAAACCACATGTAGCGCCTGGCTATGTGAGAAATCTCGATGGACAGACACAAAACACTCGCTTTTAAATGTGGGAGGCTAGGATCATTTTGAAGGAACAGTAATCACAAGCAGAACAACAATGTGCACAAAATCATGCTCAACTTCACAAGAATTGATGGTGACTGGATGTCATAATGTGTTCTAATTATGACGAGAAAAATTCCAAATGATTTCATGCTGTTGAATTATGACATGAAATGTGTGCCGTGTCACACTGATAAGTTAAACCTATGACCTGTTGAATAGTTTGGCCAGGGTCTGACTTATGGTGGGAGGACACATACTCAATATTCGGTGGACGGTGACAATTCCTGATGAGTAAAAATACATTTCATGCAAACATCTTTACTAATTGTGACTGCTGGTTGTTTTCTTAGGCTTCAAATGAAGCCATAAAAATCAAGCTTTGTACATTTACAGTCAGAACAGTGATATGTACAGTGTTTTTTTATGACTTGCTGCTGCCAAGCTACAGATGGGGAGATAATTGGTGCCAAGGAATGCAGCTGTGCTGAATACTGAACTGTCAAGGTGCTAAATCAAAAGGTGTCTCTTTTGTTAATTACACACAATGCTACAAACAGCCGCGTTCTTTTGAGACCCGTGTTCCCTCAACCACCCACAAATATTTTGGCAGTGCTACAAAAAAATAAGAAAAGAACAATTTACACACAATTATCACAGTGGGACGGGCAAACTGCCTGCAGATGTTTGTTTTGATTATAATGAGAGCGGAGGGAGGGTTTCTCTAACCTAGATGTCCAATCACAACAGAGCGGCACGCATGCAGCGAGACCTGCCGTCGGAGGAGGAGAGAAAGTGCGAGGCACAAAACATGCAGTTAGGTCTTACTTTATTTTTCTTATTAGACAAACGTGTAGTGAATTCCGTTGTTTAGAGGAGAGGGAGGCGCCACAGACACAGGAGGGAGAGGAGGAGGGGGGGGCGGGGTGGGAGGGGAAGGCATGTTAACCTGTGGCGGGACTACAAGGAGAGGACAATACAAGAAGAAAGAGAAAAACAACACTGGCTGTTAGTTATGTTAGTGAAGGGCAGCTGAGCACAACAATGTTTCCTGAAAGAAAATCCCAAATAACGATGACGGCACATCACACCTGTGAAAATGACTGACACGGCCTGCGCCATCGTGCAGGTTTGTCATATCAAGGGTGGGTTCTGATTCTCTGCTTTAACTACCTCTTAGTATGGATATCCTGCTGAAGTGATAATAGATTATTGGCCCAGAGTCTTTGACTCTGGACGTGCACATGTAAAACAGGAGGGGTTGGATCAGATGACCAAAACATTTTTACACTTCTAGCAGAGTGAAAAGCAGCACAGCTGCTGTGGTCACAGCAGGAAGTGAAGTAAAGACCAACCACGTCTCATCTTGGTTCTATTGGTCATTGAATAGACTCTCTCTCTCTGTCCTTAGACTGGTGTATGGCGAAGCTTAGATTCTTTTTTTCCATGTAAGAAATAAACAAGATTTACGACTAGAATCAAGAACTCAATTTGAAGTTACATCAAAAAGCCGCCATGACTCCGAAAAAAGGCCCAAAATCTTTGTACAAATCACAGTGCTTACATGTACAACTAATCTCAGATACACAGACAATTTACCCGGCCGCCTCTAACATAACCTTCTCCTGTTCACTCAGTGTTGAATCCCAGAGCTTAAAGACAAACTGAAGTCCCAATGAACCCATACAAGCAGGAAGATTTAAAATCCCTAATGCATGATCCAGAGTTGTTAAGCCCACCTTAAAAATGGTCAGCACAAAAATTACATATTTCTAACACTGTTTCAATTCATGTTTGTGTCAACACACTGTTTCCATATCAGTTTGGTGACACTAAACAGGAGGAAAATTATTCAGAAACATATTTGATCATGTGATAACTTTGCTTTTTTTAATGCAAAGCTAGGTTTATTGTTCAATGATAACCTGGTGATGTTTGTGGAAACAACCCATTTGGTCTGGGAAATTTCAGAAGTAAAACTAAATGTAGTAATTTTCTTAAAGTTTACAGTTCTCACCTCCAGGGACCTTAATTACAAAAATGGTTAAAAAAATGTAATGTCTACAATATGATTATCTCCAACTGCATCAGCTGGTTGAAATGTTTTGGGGTCAGTTTGAAGCTGTGTTGTTTGTGCCGTATTTTGCCATCATGTGATTTTTTCAAAAGCTTTTTTTTAAAAAAGAGCAATGCCTAATTGACAAAGCACCATACAGAAGTTTACTCTTTGTTCCACTAATGAATTGTTTCTCTCATAATGTTCGATATGTCATCACAAATACTAATATTATCTGTTCAAAACAACAAATTCAACCATTGTACTGTATGTAATAACAGGGCAAATATCTCTGCTTTTACATCAGCCTCTCTAAAGTTACTCAGGCATAAAATTGTCAAAAAGCCTCTTTTAATTCAGGGGTTTTGAAAGTGCGCCAGCAGACCTCACTTTAACTCCAAAGGGAGTGAAAGTCATTGATTCAGTGTGCGCTGACAAGATGCCACAAGTTACATTCTCTGGCATTTTCTCTATGCTGGAAATAATGTTATAATTGTTGACTCTGCTTCACTATGCATATTAAGCCCCCACAAATGCTGACAGCTTGAGTGTTACTGCTTGTGACAGATTTGTGTGTGCAGGTGTGTGTGTGTGAGTGTGTGTGAGAGAGAGAGCAAGGCAGACAGACTGACAATCTGCAGCAGCTAGGGTGAAAATTAACTCGCCTGTCTGTGGTAGAGTATGAAAGAGACGAGATGTGAGTGCAGTGTCTTTTATGCAGGTTCAGAGCTGCGTTCAAAGCACCGGCAACAGCATGCAGATGGAGAGCAGAGTTTGACTGGGTCATTGATCAGCACACAAAATGGCCCCATCAAGAGATTCCTCCCCTGTCTAAAAGATTCTACACGGATTGCAATTAGAGACTATCTGAGCCCCTAATAAGGAATAATGTTCAGTTATTAGGAAATGAACAGCCTTATAGCTCGAGTCTGCACCTTACGCCCTTCTCATCAATTCTTTATTCTTGAAAGGCTGCTTCCCCTCTCTTGATTCCTTCTTTACCCAAAAGATGTCAATTTGATTCCAGGGGAAATGTTACACAAACTGTCAGCGTTGCTCTGCCTTTTTTTGAAAATGACACAAACTACATTCTTTAGATTTTTCAGTAGAAGATTTTTTTTTTTTACCCACCACTTATCAAGCCAAGGTGTACAACCATTTCAAGTGGTATAAATGACCAACCTGCAACTAGTTTGCTCTTGAGTGAGGCTTCAGAGGCGAGAGCGTAGGACATGGTTATGATCCTCTCCTGCTCCTGAAGGGCCGAGTCGAGAGCCACCAGCCCCACGTCAGGCTTGTCTGCTGACACAGCTGGCGCTATGTTTTGAACACTGCCAAAGAAAAGTATGAAAATTTTATTAAACGAGATAATGGCTATTTGGGCTTACTGGTGGAAAGACCGTCTCTGGAACCATACAATGCAGATAAAATGGAAAGAGGTTTTAGATACAGAGAGGCAACAAGTGAATTCAAAGCCGAACCATCTCTCATAAACTGAGTAAATCCAGAAGGACTGTTAGGCTATAGTTGGAGAGGCCTCCACAAATAACCAAACACCAACTGTTGGAGCAACAGTTGGACAGTGATCTCAATCACCATCCTCCAACGGTGCAATGGAGCTTTTCTGGTGTCTTTTTCTAATTTTCTCTTGGTCGGCCATCATTTTAGGAAATGTTTCAGGCCCAATCCCATTCAGTGTTCACTAATCCCTCCCTACGCCGAGATAATTTGACAAAAAAGTCCAACAAATTGACATGTATTCTTCAACTAAGCACTAAATACTTGATTTTGTTTGAATTTTGTTTGTTTGATTCTGAAACCAGCTTAAAATGGAGTCCTTTGATTTAACTGACCATTTGGGAAACCTTAAACCCAAGAATAGGCTGTCTGTAAGAAAGACTCAAAAGTAACTTGTGCATGGTTCAGACATACTCTAAGTACCTGGATTTTGCCAAAATGCTTTTGATGCGCTCCACTTTTCGATGGCGCTCCTCAACTTCCTGAGGACTGAGTGGCTCCTCAGGATCTGGATCCACATAGCGCTCGGGGATCAACACTTTCTGAGGTTTTGAGAGCTAGGAAACGCATGTGATCAGTGATAAGATCTGTGCAAAGTCATGGACAAGCAAGAATGACAGTAATCATTTGATAATAAGTCTGAGTTATAGTAAAAGTAAAACCAACCATGCTTTATGGAAAATTGTAATATCCTCAAATATTTGCCTATGAGTTATGATAATTTGAGATTTTCATTAAGACAGTATGAAATCACATTCATAGCAAGAGTGAAGGGGATTTTAAACGGTTTAAACTTTTATATACCTTTTCATTAAACAAATTTAGGTGAGAAAAGTTCAATAGATTGGTTTGTAAGTGCATCGTGGTCTATATCTGTTTAAATGGAAACTGGTGCAGGGATTTATTGAAACACATCACAGGGAGTAAAATGGTACTGTGGGGGATCCTTCATGTCAGTGGTAGGTGTCTTAAAAAAAAAATCTTTGAAAACAGCCAGCTTAAGAGAGCTGTTTGAATTAGGTTGAAAAGTTGCCAATGTCCAGAGAAAACATTTAAATACCCTCAAAGGCCTGAAGAGCTATTGTTCAAGATGACTCTTTAAAAAATGAGCTTCAGCTCGCTTTTGGTGTTTCTAGGTATTTCTGTACTATTTTTATCTCCCCTGTGCTGCATTTATTAGACCAGAAAACTGTATCTTACTTCTTTGTTGAGGTCCAGGTCATAGTCCAGTGGTTCTAGGTCAGCCTCAGGAGCAGAAGGGGATGTAGTCATGGAGCGAAAGGTCAGCCATTCGTCCGAGTGCGAGCGGGGTCTCTCTTTGTGCTCGGGAGGTCTTTCCTCCCCCTGGACACTTCTGACTGCCTGAGCTTCCTCCCCCTGAACAGCTCTCTCAAGCAACTGCAGGTCAAACTCCTGCTCTCTCTTCCACTGGACAACGCACACAGGAAAGACACAGAGAGTGAAACAAACCACAGGACGCTCGCATAGAGTTGCACTGACTAAAAGTGAAACTGGCTTCTTTCATTTGCCTTCGAGCACTCATGCAACACAAACTGTACGTCAAACTAGTTTTCAGTTGTTTTTAATATGACTGTAAATTCTGAAGCAAGCGGTCCAGAGTGAATGAAAAACAAAGAGTGCATGCATAGATGGCGATGCATGCGCACATGGAAGTGAAAGCTCTCTGAACACAGTATGCCAACATCTTCTACATCAGCAGAGGGGAGGACAGAAAAATGCCACAGAGAGAAATATTAAATAAAACATCACCATACTGGGTGTTTTCATGGAAAAAATAATAAGAAAAACATGGCAATGGGAGTTCTTCATAAAATAATGTTTATTTTCTTTTTTTGCATTAACATTAACATTTGAAAAATGAAAGATTTAAACAGTGAGTAAGTACTTAAGCCATGATTGGATATAAAATGGAGATAAAGCAATTTGTTACTTTGTTTGTTTGTCTTTCTGTAGACGATGAAGTGATAGATGGGATGATAGTGACCTCAAATGAATCTTTATCATTATTTAAGTATAAAAGAATAATACAATCTAGTGCTTTGATGAGGTTGATGTGAGTGAGTATTTGTTGGTGTCGTATAGGTGAATGTTTTGGTCAGCAGAAAATAAGTAGTCACTGCCTATCTCTTCCATAGTCACACACAGGTTAACACATGTAAAGATGGAGTGCTGAGAGATTGCAATGTTATTAAATCAGAAAGCTCTAACATCTAAATAAGACATGACTCTGTTGAAGTGATTAAAATTAACAGAACAAGAAGGGGAAGTTAGGGTTACAGGGTTAACATGAAATCAAAATGAGAAGTCTAGTAAGGAATGTTAACATTAACATCTACAACATACAGAAGATGATAGAAAGAGGAGGGAATGGCACTGAATGCCTGCATCTGAGGTAATTAGTGTGTTAACTGTTCACAAGGCAGGATATATGATTTGTAGTTTTTTAATCTGACCACAATATATCTGTATGTACAATCCGCAATCAGAAAAAATTGTGCGACAGTATAGAAAATGCAAAGAGGAAAAAAGGCATCAATTCCTTTGAAACTAAGAAACTGTAGAGTGGACAAAATATGATATAATGGGGACTATTTCATAGTCAGTCAGTAATAATGGGTTAATTAAAAAACAGTGTCTGCAAAGGGTTAAATCTTTTCAGGAACAAAGTATAAAAAAATTACTGACATATTTTCACTTGCAGTTTCATAATGAACAATGATAGACTAGAAGGGATTTTCTATAGTGCATAATATCACACCATACAGGGAATCTGCAGGAATTTCAGTGTTAAAATTTTAAAGGTGCAAACCTAAGATGGGCACCTGTGATCTGTGATCCCTCAGATGTGGCCGCATCAGCAAATATTATTCATAAAAAGTAATATACAATTAAATGGGGATGAGAATACTGTGAGAAATCTTACTGACTTCTTGTCAGTAACCATAAATAAAGTGTTAAGCTCCTTCAGGGATGGCATTGACTTCTCAGAGCTCGAAGGACAAAATCTTACACAATTAAAGCATTTGTTGCTGTCATTAACATATAGTGCTGAAGATTATTTTTTGGGAGTAATGGACCATGTTTGCTCCACACCAAAGAAGGAAAAGGTATTCGCCTGTTGTGTGGAAGTCCAAGTGTGGGTCTCTGTGACAGACCTGGACCTGGGTTGTCAGCATCAATGAAGCAAAACTCATTAAGAGTTTAGAGCAGCGTATGCCACCTGGAGGTCACATCCTTTACAGGGTACCGAACTGGCCTGCCTGCAACCCTGACCTGACACTAATGGGGAATGGATTGAGAATTCAGTAGCAAAAAAAGTGACAACATCCTGTAACTGTGTTGAAACACAACACATAGATGAATCCAGGTACATTCTAGCAGCACTGAAGCAAAACTCACTGCGTTTTTTTTTCCATTTGCATTTCCCAAAGCATCGCAGCAATTTTCTTTTATTTTGGACTGAACTAACAGTTCCCGACTATCATGCAGGCACAGAGCACACATTTGTGTTGCATTTTGTCAACTAGAAAACATCTCCAAACAGGCCTTTACCGCTGTAGATATCTATGCCCCAAAATTACAAGCTTAGTTGTAAATAATGTCTAATTATTCCTTTATGTATTAGGGACCTTGCTTTCTAAGTATTGGCCTTCTGTCTAGCCAGCGTTAACACTAACACTTAAGTAACACTTGGGTCCATGCCATGCAAGACGAATATCTGCTATGAGAAAGGCTTCCAACGACAGAAAACATTCATTAAACAATCACAGTTAGAGCTCCACAGCGAGTTACTTATTTGTCTGTAGTCACAATATAATGTGAGCAAAGGGGAAGCTGGCTACGCTGGGTAAGGCATGCATTACTGCTGAAGATCTCCACTCTCCGATTGGCTGTCATCATGCATGGGAGTGTGACGTGAGGTTCTGTTCTAGTAACATACTGATCCCAAGTCTGCTGAAAGCGGGCGTGAGGAAGAGGCGCGCGACGACGAGGACGCCTGGCGCTCTCCGTGACTCAGGGTGCGCTTGCGCTGGCGGACGAGGGCCTTCTGGTGCCTCTTCATCCTCTCTAACTGCTCATCAGCACTCATCTTCCCCCTCTGCTGCTGCTGCTGCTGCACCGCATCCCCAGAGTACAGACGCTCCAAGGCACTTTTCGGCCTCCCCTGAGAGGAGTGGGAGGAAATGAAGTTGAAAAGAAAAACGAAAAGGTGCAAAGGATGGCAAAAAAAAAGCAGACCTGATGAGAAGGTAAAAGTAAAGTTAATCTTATGCACATCTTAAGATATTAAAAAGGAACATGGTTCAGATTAAGTTAGAGAAAAACTGAGTCAAACTCAGAGATGAAGCAGGAATTTAAATACGTTTTGAGGATGATTATGGATTAGAGAAAAATGACATGTTATTGTCTATTGTTTCCCCATAAAGCCATGGCTTCTTTCCAGACAGAGATATAACACTCCTGGTCCAAGTTCTCGGATCTGTCTGACATATGTTTCACCAGAACACAATATTAAAAAATGTGAGCCTTGTTTCTTATTTTTTAATCCTGTGGAAGCTGGTATCAGACAAGACGACTTAGCTACTGTGGTCATTCCGATTTAGAATTCATTCATTATTTTTTGCTTAAAGGGCAACTTGCTGTTGTTCTGAGACATAAAACAAACGCTATTTGGTATTAAAAACTGACAAAAAAGAAAAAAAGATTTAGTCAAAAATATAGTACAGGTTTTTTTCCATTTTAGTTCAGCGTCATTGCTCCGACTAAAGATTCTGAGGAACCATTCTGGGGGGGGGGTTTGACAACGTTTCAATGTGAGCTCCAAATATCAAAGATTTTCTCTCTTGATTAATTAATTCTCAAAGTTCACTGATGTCTAAGGCTGAAGAGACACATTACTGTATCTGCTGAATCTAATTTGCTTAATCGTTTTATACTGCTTAGCAATTCTTAAACTTGAACCTCACCTGATCGCCGGCTGCTGAGACTGATCGACGTATAGTCACATAAGAGGAGATGCTTGAAGACTGATTAAGCCGAAGCGAGGAGCCTGCCACTCCTGAATGAAAGCCAAGGAATATATTGCTCTTGATTTTACAGTAATGTACAAAAAATGGATTGAATTCATTTGAAAATATCAAACAATTCAAATTTTGCCTCATTATCCAAGTACCTCTACTGGGTAATGTCTGGTATCCTCCATCATGCCCAGATGCCCCCACACTGGTGTGGCTGGAGCCATCTCCAGCGCCCATGAGCTCTGGATCACTCAGGAAAGGCCTCAGTTCCACCTGAGAGAAACACAGGCAGAATTGAATCGAAGCAAATTTAAATGTCATCATGTCAGGCGAATTAGAAATAAAAGCACAGACACGACGCTCAAACTGTACCTTACTGTCCCCGTTGGTGTACTGACCAATCTCCCGGTCCCTTTTACGTTCATCTGACTGTCGTTTCAGGCCCCGAACAGAGGTGTGCCTGATCACTGTCGTCTCCCGGGGCAACGGCGGCACAGCAGGGGGTTGCTCGTCAGGACTGTAGAGCTGAGGTAGAGGAGGTCTGGGAGGCACGTCGTCCTCACTCTGTGCAGAGCAAATGTAGGGAGCTTATAAAACCTCAATAGTGATTATGGAGTTTAAACATAAGGATGGAACTGTGCCGCTGTTTCCCACATGCTAAAATTACAGTAAAAGAAGTACCAGTGCTTTGTCAATATGCTTACGATCTATTTTTGCTTAGAGCCTCTCTCCCTAATGATGGCACACGGTTTAGGTGCACGGGAAGCAACATGAAAATCATTACATTTCTCATATGCCACACTTCTCAGTGTGAAGTGTGTTTTTACCTTTGTTTGTGCTTGAGGACACCAGATTTAACGTTTTTACATATTTCCCTGAGCAAAAACTAAAACTGCGTTGATCGTACATCTGAAACGTTAACGTTTTTTCCAGCTTATTTCCTCTCTGGTGTGTAGTGAAGCACGCGATCAAATAAAAAAAATCTAAATGGTGGATAATGCACTCCTTTTTCTCTGACTGAGCTGAAAGCATTTTCTCTTTGACTAATGGGGTCAATAGAAATAACAGACAACAAGAGACTGTATTATACTTTAATGTTGCTTTAGTCTTATTTTTATCTCAGATAATACGTTCCCTTCACATCTGCCCCCGTTTCCTTGGCGTTTGGGTTTTTCCTTTGCATGTCCATTTCCCAACAATGTGACACTCACCTCCTTCTCATTTCTGCTGTCCAAATCTAATTTAATTTCTATAATTTTTCCTGGGGACAGACATTCCATGCCCCCTTTCAGTCTTGGCCTCTTCCTGTCAGATGACCAAATAGCCAGATTTACACTGGCAGAGGTCCCATCCTATCGCTTCCTTCCTCAATACCACAACTCCATCGAAAACATACGACACAATATGATCATCTATGAAACACAGAAGTTTCAGATTTATCCATTGTCAATAAATGTGGATCCAATTAAAAAATCACTTCGCTCTATAGTCTATAGAATTGACTGAACACACACTGTTTTCGAGGCTTCAGCTGTTGTCACAAGCCATTGTGTCAATAGTGAGCAGGGGGGGAAAAAAAGCTGGAAAAATAAGCTCATTCATAATGAAAGAAACTTCCTTTATAAATTTTGAAAAAAGTGGACATAGAAAAAACAAAAAGGAAGAAGATAAATCTTTCTTTCACATCTCTGACAATTACAACCAATCGCTGTTTGTCACTCACCCACTTAAAGCCACTGAAGACAGTTGCAGAATGGTGTAGTAGCTGCTGGCTCGGGCTGGAGGAAAGTGGGGGGGTGTGGCTGCTGGGGCTGAGGTGGGGGCTGTGCGGCTGCTGTTGGGACAATCTCATCTCCATAGCAGACGGGCTCCCAGACACAGAAGGCACTGATGACACTGACACTGAAGGCACAAATTTCCTCTCTGGGGGATTCAATGTGCATAAACATGCAACATGAGTACACACACCATGTAAGGGTTTATTTTCCTATGGGAGGAATTCACAGCGTTTGTAAAGGAGATGACTTAGACGGATAATACAACAGTGCGCCCCGATGACTTCGGCTGCATCACATAGCAGGGAGCAATGAAGTTAGGAAATGTTTAGTCCAGGCTGCAGTTGCCTCACCTGGGTTGGTAACAGAGGAGATAGTGACTTTGTAGTTGGCTTTATTGGTGCTGAGACCTGCGATAACATCCTCAATCCTCCACAGCTCCTTTCTGATCTGGATTTTCTCTTGCTGCTCACAGAGAAACAAAAAACTGTTAATATTTAAAAACAAAGAATATGCTTTTTTTCCTTCTTTTTTTTAACACATACAGTACATCTACTTACAGACCAGGTCAAAATCATGACTACTGAGAAGTAGAAACAGATGAGAAATCAACCACAAATCATTCTTTCTTTTTTTTTTTTTTTTTCCTTTGGCATATGAAACCTGTCATTTGTAACTCATTCTCACTCACGCCCATGCATGAAAGTGAATGAGATGAGAATGAGTGAGTGGAGAGAGATCACTGGGACGAGACCTGAGAAAGATCACTGCGGTTCATCTGTGACTGCAGGGCTGACTTCAGCCAGTCCACGTCTCTCTCCAGCCTGCTGTACTCATTCCATGCGTTCTCCATCTCCTGTAGAACAGAACATAAGACATGCCGTGATAACACAACAGCTTTCAGATACTGCACTTTTCACACTCAGCCAGTACTTTTTCAATGTGTTCCAACACCGACGTATCAGCTCACGCTTATAAATTCAAATTAGAAGCGTATACTTTCCTATGCTTATTTTAGAAACACACAAAAAAGAATCAATGTTTCTTTTCACATAGCAAACCAAAATCAACCTATTCATGTAAAAAATCTCTCTGAGAATATGTAAATCCACACTGTATGCCTGAACGGGCGTTTGACACAGAACGGAAGATGTACTTGTTTACTTTCACGTAATCTCGTGGTCAACATTCAAATTATCGTTTTCCATCTAAACGCTAAATATTTGAATATAAGAGAACTTTCCGACCAAAGTCATAGAGAAATGGCCTCATGAGATACTTTGTAGCCTCAGGTATGTCCCCCGCTCAGTCATTTTGTTAGTCACAGTCAACCTGAAACACTGTGCCAGATGCAGAAACCATCAAAATGAAAACACCGAAAACAAAAGTGAACATCTTGTCTTTAATCAATAAAAGCACAATTAATTTTATTTTAGGAGAAGGGCACTGCTGATGTCAACTCCAACAAGTCAAAGACGTTGGTGTTCTGCTTACTGTTGAGACTTGGGATATTTCAGCCCTGATGTGGACCACATCCTCTTGTAGCAGTTTCTGCTGATAGGCTATTTTCTCAGCATGAGCCGGCTGATCTTTGTACTCTTCCATCTGCTGGTGGGAAACGTCCAACACAGACTCCAACTTGTCCTAAAGAGCATGAAAAACCCACAAAACATACACCACCAGGCTTATACGGATCACACAAAACACAGACTGACACTCATATTTAAGTTCAAATATATCATCGCACATCCATTTTTTTTAAGTTTGGGAAGTAACAAACACAGCTAAAAAAGATTTTTAACATGTTGAAAACCCTGATTTCCCTGGAAGCGCTCCTAAACTAGGAAAAAGGAATACACAACTGCACAGTTCATAATCTGACATAAACACTAAATAAATAAATAAATATATATTTATAAATTCAGATAATCTCTTAATACCCCACATACAAAAATAAATCTATATATAACAAATATGACAGGAACCTTGTCCTCTTTTAAAGTGCGTATGCTGGCCTCTAGCTCCTGAAGGATCTTGTCTTGTTCACACAGTCGACTTAATTTTACCTAAGAAAAAAAAGGAAATGTTTTCATAAAAACTGAGAAAAAGAAAGGATGACATCCATATTTCAGAGATTAGAAAGCAGAAACACAGATAATAGATATAGCAGTTATATAGTTACTAAAGCATTACATGCAGCACATGTTCTATTCTTGTCTTCACTCAACGTTTCTCTACAGTGGGTGAGACAAATTGATCGACTATTGTAGTCTTCCCGCTCTGTCAATAAGACTCATCTTTGTAAAAAAGCCCCGAGGAATTCTTCTCATCAGCCCAGTGAGGGAAAAAAAAAATCAAAAGGCTCTATACTGTCTAGTTTAGGGGTAAGATTGGGTGATCCCCATTATGAGTAATCATAATCAAAAATCCATATTTTCAAATTCACTTTTGGAGAAAGCCGTGTTTACTCAGGGTGACAGATTTGTTTTCCAAGAAATGGGTTATGTGTTTATGAAAACAAGATAAGACTGGCAAGTTCACAGTCTTTCTCTCGCTGTTTTTTTTTCTTCTCAGATCTATTTATCATTCTGTTCAATTAATAATTAAGCTGTTTTTATTTTGCTGCCACATATTGTTGTTTTTAATTGCATGAAATATTCATTGTTCAGCAAATTTACTGGAAATTTCTTATAAATTGTTAAAGTGGAACAATGCTAATGATGAAAAGCCAGGACATCCATCTTATTTACCTCCATTCAACGGAAAACAAAGACTGAGAAATGCAGGATCAGGCAAATCAAACTGAAAAATTTAACAGCTCAACATCTAATACTCCCATTACATGTATTTTTCCCTTTAAATTGTAGGGAGGAAAATAAAAGCTGTGGTCGATACTCTCAGGCCCTCACTGTGCAGCGTGGATGGGTGTCCCCACAGTGTTGCCATGCACATGCGTTCCTCTGCAGTATTTGTTTACCACAACTTAAGAACACACACACAGCAAAACCACACTAAAACACACGGTACAGTCAGACTAAAGTCAGCTGCCTCTCTGTAGTAGACTGTCAGAAGTCGGAAATGGAGATCTTAAAGAACAGAGAGAGGCGGATACTCAGAATGCTTATTTTGTAAATCCGGACAACACTGTGATTCACTTACATCTGCATCACTTTCAGCTATTTTCACAGGTCTTGATGGTCTTTCTCTTTTTAAACTCTCACGTCCGGTGACCTGAAAATTCATAACAGCCACAAATCAAACAACAAATCAAACAACAACAAAAACAGTATTGCAATTCCTTATTTGAAGACATTTCTTTCTTGATCTCCAGTAACAGCATCTGCTTTCATTTTCAATACCCAGTGAGACAGCTATAACAGTTGAGCTGATAAACTAATTAAACTGACAGAAGGAAAGAAGAAAACAGAGGAAAAGGAATATGTGAGCAGAAAAACCAAAAAGGTGAATTTATCTAATGTTGTTGTTTCAGGAAACCCAAAATCCCATTGCTGCTCTTTCCAGGTTGCCTTTATCTTCAATTTATTTCATCAGATTTATAAGGAGGGAAAATGATTTTGAGATCTTCTTTTTTTGCATTTCTCAAAGCAACATTTGAAAAATGTAAAGCTGATGTCAAACTGTGTTATCAGAGCTCTCCCTCACCAAAGATGTGGAAGGGTCCTTTGACTCGGACCATAAATATGGTTGTGAACATTTCTAAATGATATGGACACATACTCTTAGGAGCAATCTTTGCCAGTCATTGGTGAAGTACGTCATTACGGCACACTAAAAGAGTTCTGCTTAGCATGGCTAAAAATAAGGGAACATGTTTCCTGTGCTTTTAAACCTTCTAGTTTTCCTAACAATTTGACTGTGCTCACTGCTTTTGTATTGCATTTATTTCAATGCATTTATTAGATTTCAACATAACAATAAAGAAATGTTAGTAAAAACACTTTTTCACTAACTTTGTCATTACAGGTTAATTACAGACAAAACTTTTTGGTAATTTATATTAATATTTTTACTATTGGGGTATCAGAGCTCTCTATAGGTCTTCTGTATCTAATAGTATTCTTCTATCTGCATCCCTATAATAGTAGACGCGAAGCACATTGGGCAACGTTTTTTTTTAAGTAAAGGGGGAGACAGTTGTCTGCCACAGCTGGCAATGCCTGAAGCTTGACAGCGTGGGTGGATTATAGTCATATGAATAATCCACCCACATCAGGATCACCACACCCAGCAGAGCAGCACGGAGCAGCACAAACAGGAGACCCAATTAAAGGCCCATTCCTCTTACAGTATCCAACTCGGGAAAGTCTAATAGTAGTCTTACTGGGTACTCTACTAAATGAAATCATAATATACTGCGTGGTTGATAGGGGATTAATTAACTTTATTCACACTTATTCGATTTATTCAAGTGATCAGCAGAACAACTTTTTTTCTGGTTTGAGAACTGCAAGTTCTTTAAGGATAAGTTTTATTTATTTTTTAAGTGTCTTTAAATGCTTTTGAAACAATCAAACATTTTCATCCGTGTCCACTCGTATTGTGATGACAGTAAAGGCCTTTAGATGGAAACTGTCACAGCATCATGTCAAAGTTGGCAATAATATCTCATCTAAAAAGGAAAGCCATGAGAGGATTATTTTTTAGGAGATGAGCTATGGGTGGGATTCACAAGAGACATCACACTTGTTTGACGAGCATCTGTGTTGTTCTGTTTGTGTACATTGTTAATGACTTTGCCTGTATATCTGTTAAAGAGCAGCACTGGGTCGTTGGGTCATCTCTTATGTTCTGGCAAGCAAAACATAAGTATAATTACTATTTTGTACAGGCTTCCAATTCATACATAAATGCCTTTAAACATGCCAGGAAGACTGTCATGATTCAAGCTTCCTCCATCTAATCTCAGATCAGAACATTTTCGCGGTATCTCACAGCAGATGATCTGATGAGATAATTCATGTGCAAAATCCTGCATCATTTTCAGGGATGCATCACATTCCATTTAAAAAGCAGCAAAATTGAATATTTCACTTTGTATGCACACCATCATCGCATTCCAACGACAGCCAAACACATTGTACTCAAACAATTGTTGGCTCCGTACTCTGGGGCCTTTTTTAAAGGAGGAAATAGGGCGAGTTTACAGGTTAGATTACCAGACCACCTCCCCACCATTCCAAAACACCCAGATTTTTTTACTTATTTGATGTGGTGTTCAACATACAAACATACTGCGCTAAAATGCATTGCAGAAGTGTGAATCAAAAAAAGTTTAGTTCGAACACAGTATGGCAATTGGAGCTCTCATGACTAACATTTAAGGAGTTAAGCATGTGTGCATGAAAACTTCAATTCCTCTCAGTGCTTCAGCGACATGACTGCATTAATCCACTGCTTTGTATTCAAAAGTCCAATATTATCAATGGAAAAAAACATTGACTGAGAATGAAGCCAAACACTGATAGCACAGATACATTTACATCCTGAAATGGATACTTGAAAAAAAAAATAGAACAAGAATGTTAATTACAACAAAAGGGGACAGTAGAAAGCACAGTACTGAACAGAGGAAAAAAGAAAAGAATAAGAAACAGGGTGGCAGATGTCAGGGGGCAGCAGCAGGAGAACAAGATCGTAGTCCAAAGAGGGAAGATGGAGAAGAGGATGAAATGGTTAAAGTGGCATTTACTTTGTTGGGGCCCACCTTCAGATCTAGATACTCCAGGTCCTTCTTCAGTTGTATGTAAGTATCATCAGCCTTTAAATGAGCAGTGGAGAGATAAATCACTTGAAATGAGCTACAAAGGATAATGGGTGACCAGATGACTCCTAAGGTCTTTTATTTTCTGTTAAGCCCTTGCAAACAAAACTTCAATTAACTTAAGTCTTAATTACAGTGTACTTCTCCTCTATCTCTGTATTTTTAATCTACAGTTAGTAAAGCCAAACCCTAATTAGATCATTTTTTAACTGGTTTATTGACTCGTGTCTGACCTCTTACGCAACTGAGCAGGTCTAATACACGGCATGTGGTCAAACTGAGAGTCTATTTTCCTTCATGAGCGTGGAGTATGGCCAGAGAATGGTTAGATGTCAGAAACTGGGTGGAGTTGTCATTACTGAGCACCATTGCAGTATCACTGCGGTCTGCTAGTCTTACAGTGGAGCACTTTCCTCAAACTGTTTCAGAATGATAACCCCAAAAACAAAAGATATTTCAGAGCCCACGGGAGCAAACGGGCCAATCAAATTTTTGTGGTTCGTAGCGATACATATTTCAAATAAAGAGAAGTGGATCCCACACGCAAGCACAGTCGACAAGCAGCATGCGTCAAATATGGCAGACCGCTTTTTGGAATCAGAAATGACACAATGCTCTGACAGCACTGTCAAGTTTTCAGCAGTGACTCCAGCTGAATACTCAGGAATGGAGACAGAAACGTACGGGTGGTAAGCACACCACGGTGCATGCCAAAATGTCTGAACTAATGCTGACGACAACCAAGCAACCCCAACAGACTGCAGGGTATGTCAAAATGACATGGAAGTAATGTGCAGGAATGGCTAGGAAGAGGAGGACCACAATGCACTGGCAGGGGATGCGGCGTGCGGCCTTAGGGAAGAATGAGGGTCCCTGACCTGCATGCTGGGGCCTAAAAGGCCGTTGTGCTGGTGGTGCAGCAGGGGAGCGAATGCATTGCCGGGGCTTTGCACACCAGCCATCTTGGCCTGGTGTCTCCGAAGTTGAATGAGGAGCAGAGTCAGCTCCTCTGGCTGTAGCCAAGCCCGCGTTTATGGGGCCAGAGCCCAGTGAAAGCACAGAGGGGTGAGAGAAAATATTTGATAACCATCTGAGCAACACAGGGGGCTTAGCCATAGCAGCTGAGAAAGCCATGTGGCCAGGATATTGCTCCTATAAATGCCCTGGTCATAACTTCAAAACTAACTAAAAGTTAGAGCTGCACTGTATAGATTGTTTTGATTTTTTTTTGTCTGCGCATCAAGGGTTATCAGGACTTATAATACTAAGCAAGCTAAACCAGCTTCATAAAGGACACAAAATCAGACAGCTCATAATATTGCAGACGAGCTGTGTTGATCACACTTTTCTTTCAATTTCTTACTTCAATGTATTTCCTGCAGTAACATCACGCCAGTGTCAATTACTGGCACGTTTTCAGATAAAACAACATTATGTACAGTGTGGAGACAATCCTACCGTCTTGCCATGTAAGCTGGGAGCACTGACAGTGTGTGTGATGTAGCCCATGGCCGGCACGGACCTCCTCTCTATTTGGGACGTCTGTGGAGACATGCATTTCGTTTACTTGTTATGATAGATCAAAAACATTCAAATCAAATAGAATGTCTAATTCACAAAGTAATAGTCAATAGTGCATGGAAAGTAGGGGGAAGATAACTATTAAACTGAATCAAAGTTAAGCCATTACCTCCAAGTCTGCAAACAAATCTGACTACACAGCAGAATTATATTTTCATCTATCTCTTTTTTCACCCTCCCTTTCATCACTCTTATTTGAAACAAGGTGTGCCCCGAGTTTCGGATGCTACAGGGCTTGGAAAATCTGACGTTTTTGCTTAACACACAGAATTAGCAAAAAACCAGGCCTCACCACAGAACCTTAAAAGGACACAAACAACAAGAGATGTAATTAACTACACATAAATTATACCAAACCTGCTTTCTTAAAATAACATTTGTTTGCTACCAGCAAGAGAAGCACTGTAAGCCATTCCCTTTGAGATTCCCATGCCACATTTTTTTGCTGTATAATAGGTTTTTTATTTAAATGCAAGATCAGAAGAAAGAGACTGCTGATGTTTGAGATACAGTAGAGATGTTTATAGGGTGCTAAGAAGCCCTGGGCAAACTGGATTAGCCGCTAATAAAATATACTTCTTAATGATATTCCACAGGGGAACACGGATCGTTGTTACTTAAGCGCACTCCAGCCAGAGAGCACCAATAGCCTGGTAGATGCTGGGTGCACCAAGACTCAGTTCACACTAAAATTAGTTCCCATAAACATGGTCTCTGTGCACAAGCGCTGCGGCTGCCTTTGTTAAAAGCGCATCTTTCTTTAAAGCGCTTTCTATAATTGTGCATCACTCCATTCATTGGCTGTAATTAGTGAGTTGACACTTGGGTGAATGATGGCGGAAACAACATCTGTGACACTTTGTTTACTTGTGCGAGGCCATCGGGTTGGTTGTGAGACTTGTGTGTGCTGGCCTATGTGGTGATGGTTTGGAGGGAGCTCTTTTCACATGTGGAGGGTGTGGTGGGGAGACAGCGCAGGGTGTGGATAACAGAACGTCCCCTTGCTTCATCTCCGGCGGCGGCAGTGGTGCTATCCGAGTGCTACGCTGGCTTGGGGAGCGGCGGAGAAGCCCGTTTTTTTTCCCTCGCACACGCTCATACCACCTGTTGAGCGCGCCTGGGTGTGGACTGTGTGAATCTGCGAATGATTCACATGAGCATCAAAGTGGGTGTGCTGAAAAACCGGAGCCTTCTCAGGCTCCACATGCTAATCTTCCCATGGTTCCTTTGTACGCTGACAACATGTTGACATCACTAGGTGCCTCACATCCACTTTCCGAAGCAACCGTGAGAATGGGCGCTTTGTCGTTTGGCTCAATATGTGTGATTTCCCAAGTTTTTATCCAGTCCCACGCCAATGACAGAGTACTGGTGGTTTCTGAGTGTCTGTATTACAGTGTTAAAGCTCCAATGACTGAGCATCGGCAAATTCACAGAGACAGCCCTGCATCAATCTAACCATTTGATACCAAGAACAGGTCCATTCTCAAGGTGTCCAAGCTGGGTCACTATGAGTGTCACAGTACTCTGGGAACACCCCCTCAGAAGCTGCTTTTCTCACTTTGATGTCCTTATTCCCAACAGCCAGTCCACACAGTCAGTAATCACTTAAACTTAATGTGTCAGTTATGCTCTAGAATAATTGGTAACACACACACAGACACAGATATATATATATATCAGTTGATCATTATGCTAATGAGTTTCGTAATGACTGACTAATGAGTTCATCAACTCATCACTTCATCCATACAGTAACCACAGTCGCACCAATAAACTGCCCTTCTATCATGATAACAAATAATGAGGTAGATAAATGTCACATCAATGCATCGGCTTGCTTAATTGGGATTCGTCCGAAAATTTGTCTAGTCTGACAGCGACATGATATGAAAAACATGTTATCCTTATTTGCGCTCTAAATATTAAGTTTATCTTATATGCACCAGTCAAAGGCTTGAACACACTTTACATTTTGAATGAGTTGATATGTCCAAACCTTTGACATATGCTGGAAAGGTTTGGTCTTTTGTTCTGTAACTTCTACTACATTTCAGGATTTGAACTATTTTTACTTAACAAATATTAATTTAAACTTTTTCAGCAAAACAGTGGTCAGGGTGTATCATGGATGAAACATTAGGTATCTTTGCATGGGTCATATGGGGAAAAAAATTATATGGTCACAGAAAATGTATCAAGAAGAAAATAAGTCCATAATTCAGTAATAACCCTGTAGTTACCAGAAACCCAGCATCACTATCACTCTATTCCAGAGCTGAAATCTGTTTGGAGTGGACACATTCTGACTCACTGATGGACCAAGGGCACCACGAAGAACCAGGAGGAACCACTTCTCATTTCAGTGTATAGAGATGGTAGTTCTTCTTCAGAAAAAGTGGCTTTGTTGATCCCTCAATATTTTATGGCATTAACATTTTCCATATGTTGAAAATAAAGTAAGAGTAAGTTTGAAATAAATGAACAAATCCAGTAATCTGCAAACACATCCCTCAGTTTCCTTCACTTCTGATTTGGTAAAAGAATTAATCTGGTAAATCCATTTGCTTAAAAAGAAAGCACACAGGTAAAGAATGTCAGAGTGGCACGTCCTCTTTCTGATAGAGTCCTACCTGAGAAAGATGGGCACAAATGTGGCCAGGTGAGCTCGATCTTGTGCTGTCACCAGCTATCAATTCATCCAAGGGCCTGACTGTGCGTCTGTCTGAAGGGGTGTGGGGCCTTCGCGGGGACAGGGGTTTGAAAGTGGAGGGGATTGATGGTGGGACTTCACAAGGTGATGGGGGGACAGATATGGAGCGCGGCATCTCCACGGTCACTCTGAATGAGGAGGAGTCTGTGAAGTTAGGGCCCGTGTAAATAGGTGCGGTGGGGCTGCCGTGACGAAACTGCTGGCGCTGCTGCCACTCGTAAAGCTGCCACACCATTCCCTCCTTGGTGGCCATTCGCTCGTCGGTGGACATGCGGAAGTGGCTGAGCCGGTCATGCGCGTATTTATAGTCACTGGGCAGGTTGCACGTCGCTGGAGGAGAACTGCTGCCCGATGGAAGACGAGGAGACTTTGGCAACGAGTGACAGGTGCCGTCGGCTGTGCTGGATTTGGGTTTTAAAGGGGGAGTCCGCCGAGGGAGGTTATATTCAGCAGAGGGAGCGCTGTCATAGAAAAGCACAAAGAAATGTTTCATTTTAAAAAAAAAGAAAGAATTCTAAAACATATATACAAAGGCATATAGATAGAATCTTCTGCAAATAGGAATCTTGTATCGGACAAAAGCTGAGAAAAAATAAACTCCCTATATCATTAAAGGGGAAGCGCACTTTTCCTAACATCCACTAGAGGGAGGCATCTACATAAGGTTTCTCTGGATGTTTCCATAGTGTGGCAAGCTTTTTAAATGGGCTCAGAATGAACTGGACCCATTTGAGATTTAATCCCTTTGATTTGTTTGGATTATGATTGTAATGTATTTAATTTGTTTTTAATTGGCTCTAATTAGACCATGTCTCTAACATGGTTATTTGTTGTGATTTGGCAATAAGAGATTGAATTTAATCAACCTGACTGACCTCTTGGGTGCATCCCCTTTGTGAACTTTGACCCACTGCTCCACCTGAGCCAGCGTATTCTTCCTCTGCACATGTTTTTCAGTGTCAATCCTTGAAACAAAGCCCCGCTGATAGACAACGCTCCCATTTTTCTCAGGTGGTAGGGTCACTTGGATTACTGCTGGCTGTCCATTCTTCTGAGCAGCATCATTGACAGACTCTGGAGACAGTCTTTCTACTCTTTCCTGTGCCACTGACTGGCTGGGTTTGCTGTTGGTCTCCAATCCATACCTCCCCTCATTCCCATGAGCTAGTCTGAAAGCATTATCCTGAGGTTCCTCCCTGTCTGTCCTGTGAAGGCTTTGTGACTGAGATGAGGTCTGGGTGATGTGGACATGGTTGGTCTGTGGGGCTGCTTGCTGTGTAGCCTTCTCTGGTTTCTCCATTTCTCTGCATGAATGTGACAAAGGACGACATAAGATAAGCCAGGCTATAAATATGTGATCGTAAACTACTTCACACAAACAAACATTATTAGGAGCAAACGCGCTACATTTAATCTTTATTCTATTGCAAACACCAACTGTCATACAATCCACCTCTACTCCATCCAGTTTATTGCGAGCACTATTGTTGAAGAAAGGATTAGATGGAGAAAAGAGAACACAACAGGCACTCCAATTAACCCCAAGTTAACCCAAAGGTAATTGCTCAGTGCATTTGCAGAGGCACATATGGTCAGACCATTGGGACTATGTCATTAAATTTGCATCCACACCTTTTCTCATATTTTACAGCAAAGAGGAAAGATGATGAGAAAAGCTCATCGCGTAGAGCATGTCACCAGGGAACTGGACCAGCAGTCAATTTGTCTTCAAATTGCTTTTTATAATTTTTTATGTGTTTAATAAGTGAACCCGTGATTCATTTCACATGGTTAGGCGGATATCAGAGTCACTGAGTGAGCACTTCACTGCTTTTTCTTTAAGCAGTTGACTTTATTGATGTTTTAAAATCCTAAACGTGATGAAAAGTGAGCGGATGGATTGGAAAAAAGAGTATTATGTGGAAGCGTGATCCTCTCTAAGAAAAGAAAAAGAAAGTATTGAGTATTTACAAGCATTTCTCTCTAGGTGGCATTATTGCATAGATAAAACAACAACAACTAAACACTCAGTGCTGCATTTACTTCACCTTCGATGCAGTATTATTTAAATAAAACACTAAGGTGCTTTTCTGTATCAATTCAATACTCAAACATAAAACGCTGCAAAGTCTGCCCCCAAATCCTCGCCCCCCCCGCCCCCCCCCCCTGTCATAATCTCCATTCACTAATGGGTGCAGAGCCTTATTTTACAACCAACATGCACCACAAACATGCAGACACACACTGCAGAAGTCTAAGTGTCCCAAATGCAGCATCTGGGCCTGAACCTGCTTTGTAGGACGGCTCACATTAAAATAAAAAATGCAGCACATTAAAAGGGGAAAGATAAGCATATAATATTCATGAGGCCCTGACAAAGAAAAAAAGCGGCAAAGGGTAACCCAGAGCCATAGCAAATAATTGAAAAGTTAGATTTGCTATTACGCTTTTGTGTAAATACCTTTTGTTTCTTTTGTTTGATAATGTTTAAACATCATCAGGCACAAGGGGTTGCTGTGCTTCATGAACAGTGTTTGCGACATTGAAAGCTTGACTAATTGGAAAAATGAAATGGGGAAATCTCCTTCTCAGAGTGAGACCTACCTCTTTATGGTGTGACTCTGCTGCATCAGCGCAGCCTGGTTCATGGCCCGAATCCAGCCATTCATGTCCTCCTGTGTGTCCGCACTGAAGAAATATGTCCGCATCCCGCAGTGTTCTGCCTGTGAGCCAATCACAGAGTTCTTATTGTAAATGTAGGAGCGCATTCCCGTATGGCTCGCCTGTCAGAAGAAGAGAGATCGAGAGGTAGAAAGGGAGGACAGATATGACAGATTCTTACTGAAACTGCAATAGAAGATGAGGAGTGTAAAACTCTCATTGTTAAGAGAAAAAAAAAACTGACAGCTGTCAACTGACGTATTCAGCAGCCTTTTACTGAAGGAAAAAGGGGGAACACAGTTCCGCAGCAGAAACAGAGTTTTTCTCTAAAAGAGTAAAAAAGTAAATCAAAGGATTTGTTTTTCCTCTGATTTTCAATAGGAGTTGGAATACTTTTGCCATATGGGCATTAAATCAAACTGTCAAACAAAGCAAAGAAAAATGCAGTTATGGGCTTCTTATACCTTTTTTCATCAGCACACGCACACACACACACATATATATATATATATATACACACACATATAACCTCCTATCTTAAACATTAACTTACCTTTCTAATTTCTCTGACAAGCAGCCTGTTGTCTAAATCCAATTAGCATAATAAATGACTAATAAGCATCTTTTGTACATAGTTTTATCCCCTTTAATAATCTTATTTCCTGTTTCACCTGATAGTGATAGAGACTTAGACGTTGAGTTTACTCACATAATTTATAACCTGAAACGTATTATTATATAAAATTGCACTAACTGTTGGGTAAAACTCCTGTCTCATCTTATGAACAGAATAAAGGGCTATTCCTGAAATAATATACTTATATAATAAAATGAAAAGATTCATTTTGATTCAACTTGAAATATACTAAAATGGAAAGTACTGCAAAGTTTATGATGACTCCATTTATGATGACTCCATTTATTATTTTTTAAGTCTTAACTTAATGTTAATATCAATGTCGAATCTGCACTTTGCTATAAAAAAATCAAACTCATCACAGATGAAATGACCACAATTCTCCTACCATTGATTAAATATGTAGGGAGTAAAAAGGCACAATCTCAAAACCATTGAGTTGACCATGCTGAAAGTTATTAGATCCCAGTTTCAAAAAGGGACACAGCATAAAATGAAAATGGTATTCCTAGCCTCGATTAGATAGCAACACATCTGAAAAAAGTTGGAAAAGGGGCAACAAGAGACATACTATATAAATCAAAGCAGAGACTTAAGTGATAATATGTTGCAAGATGTCAGTAACATGAGTAGTTTTTCTTAAAAAAACCTTTAGAGAAGCGCAGTCTGCCAGAGCACAAGAAGTTCAGCAGTCTGCAAAAACTACTGTACATGTACTAATCGAGTAGCAATTAGAGTAACTGAGGTAGTAAAACAACTATCCATTCATCAGCTGAAAAACCTAAATCTATCATTATATTGTTATCATACGGTTGTTTGTGTGCATTTTAGTTCCTGCGGACCTTGCACCTATCAACAGGCCCCTTCAATGCTAAAATGTAAAAACAGGTTTCAGAGCAACATACACTATATTGCCAAAAGTATTTGCTCACCTGCCTTGACTCACATATGAGCTTAAGTGACATCCCGTTCCTAATCCATAGGGTTCAATATGACGTCGGTCCACCCTTTGCAGCTAGAACAGCTTCAACTCTTCTGGGAAGGCTGTCCACAAGGTTTAGGAGTGTGTTTATGGGAATTTTTGACCATTCTTCCAGAAGCGCATTTGTGAGGTCGCACACTGATGTTGGACGAGAAGGCCTGGCTCTCAGTCTCCGCTCTAATTCATCCCAAAGGTGTTCTATCGGGTTGAGGTCAGGACTCTGTGCAGGCCAGTCAAGTTCATCCACACCAGACTCTGTCATCCATGTCTTTATGGACCTTGCTTTGTGCACTGGTGCACAGTCATGTTGGAAGAGGAAGGGGCCAGCTCCAAACTGTTCCCACAAAGTTGGGAGCATGGAATTGTCCAAAATGTCTTGGTATGCTGAAGCATTCAGAGTTCCTTTCACTGGAACTAAGGGGCCAAGCCCAGCTCCTGAAAAACAACCCCACACCATAATCCCCCCTCCACCAAACTTTACACTTGGCACAATGCAGTCAGACAAGTACCGTTCTCCTGGCAACCGCCAAACCCAGACCCGTCCATCAGATTGCCAGATGGAGAAGCGCGATTCGTCACTCCAGAGAACGCGTCTCCACTGCTCTAGAGTCCAGTGGCGGCGTGCTTTACACCACCGCATCCGACGCTTTGCATTGCACTTGGTGATGTATGGCTTGGATGCAGCTGCTCGACCATGGAAACCCATTCCATGAAGCTCTCTGCGCACTGTTCTTGAGCTAATCTGAAGGCCACATGAAGTTTGGAGGTCTGTAGTGATTGACTCTGCAGAAAGTTGGCGACCTCTTCGCACTATGCGCGTCAGCATCCGCTGACCCCGCTCCGTCAGTTTACGTGGCCTACCACTTCGTGGCTGAGTTGCTGTCGTTCCCAAACACTTCCATTTTCTTATAATACAGCTGACAGTTGACTGTGGAATATTTAGGAGCGAGGAAATTTCACGACTGGATTTGTTGCACAGGTGGCATCCTATCACAGTTCCACGCTGGAATTCACTGAGCTCCTGAGAGCGACCCATTCTTTCACAAATGTTTGTAAAAACAGTCTGCATGCCTAGGTGCTTGAATTTATACACCTGTGGCCATGGAAGTGATTGGAACACCTGATTCCGATAATTTGGATGGGTGAGCAAATACTTTTGGCAATATAGTGTATGTTCCCATCCAGGAGATGGCAAAACCAGACTGAATATTAAACACAGCCATGCTTTGCGGCAAAGGAGTAGGGTAGAGTCTATCCGTAGTCTGTAGCTTTCACCTTCTGTAAAGAATGTGCCCATTATGATGCCTGAGGACTGTTGAGCGCATTACACTTTACAGGGAAAATACATAATACAGAATAGTGGAAGCCACACCATGGTGAACATGGCCCTGTTCCAACCTTTTCTGTGACATGTGTGCACCATAATATTAAAGATAAGATAAGATCATCCCGTTTTGTATTCATAAAGGATCCAAACTCCCTTGGAACTAAGTTTGTATATTAATATTACATTGAAAAACATTAGACAAATGCATGTGAAAATAAATAATTGCTGGAAACATACAATGTAATGCCATGAAAATACAGATGACCCTGCCTGTCCACACAACCATTCACAGACGAACACACACAAACCTCACAATGATGGGCAGTGATGAATGATAAGCAGCTTGAAAAGACAAATACCAGAGCTACTGAGTATAATACTGTCAGAGATCAATGTTCTACCAAAATTATGATTTGTGGAATTTTCCATCTGATGACAAATTGAATATCAGGACTTTCCACACCTCCTTTTTCAAAATCTGTGGGGTCTAACACAGAATGGATTTTCAATCAATCAAGTGTGGACTTATTTTGACTCTTGCACAGCTGTGCAGTACAAACAGTAGATATTTCATCTTTATCCCGGATCTTTCACCCTAAGAACTGTGAGAGAGGGGAGAGTAATGACTCCCACACTGTATGTGTAATTGTCAGAGTCCAAATTACACACATGCTTTGTCAAAACAATGAACAACTAAGCCACTGTCCAAATACAAACACACCAAACTGTGCAAAAGCCCATTATTCCCCATCCCACTCCCATATATTCTAGGGTAAATTATCAATCAAGATTATTAGAATTAATATGAGCTCTGGCATTGTCCAAAGATGACTCGCTGTGGTCATGCCTGTTCAAGTTAGGACTTAAGGGCACATTTGGAAATGTGCCCTCCACAGCCAATGGCGAGATGTGAACCAAAATGAGGTGAGGATGGTGCTATGCCGATGAGGCTCAAGTGAAATCAAATACCTATTCATGCAAGACCGGAAGCCTTGTGACTCAGGACGGCCACCCGCAGAGAACAGTACTCACTCCGCCCGCGCAAACACACCGGGTCACAATGGAAGGCAATTGACCAACAGGGGATGAGAGAAACACAGTGAGATGGACAAAAAATAAGGAAACACAAAGCAACAGGAAGTTACACCTGGTCAGTTCTGATTGAAGTAGAACGAACAGAAAATGATTCCGTCTGTGGTCTTTTGACATCACAGAGGCAAGAAAGGGCAAGAGTGGAAGCATCAGAGGCATTAGGCTGGTTTACAACTAATCAGATTATTTATTAAGTGTCACTTTGTCTCGTCCAGTCATTCTGTTCAGTTTATTGGGCTGTTTGCAATTTACAGCAGGTGTCAGGACCTCTAACAGCCTGGAACATCCCAACTACTGAGCTGTTCTCGTGCTTTCAAGGGGGTTCCAGAGATCTTCCAGGCGCCCCACATCTCCTGATCTTTCATGCATAATGACTCAAAGAGAGCTCAGGGATGTTGGGGGAACCTTTAAATACAGTGATGTAGAGCAGAACCTAGGCTCATTATCTCACCTTACTTTGCGTGTACTCCCCCGACGGGAGGGGGGGAGGAGACGCTATGCAGACTGAATGTATGATTAACATTCCAAGCGGCACAATTATCGCACAGGTTCCATTGTAAGTAACGTGATCTTTAAAATGCGACTTACGAGCACACAAGTACCACGTTCTGCCACACACATTGCCACGTGTGTGCATAGCGAACACATTTCCACACATCATCCAAGAACAAAATCCCCAAGTACAAAGGAGCTGAAAGGATTGCAACAGAATGCCCTGAAGCTGCAGTGGTGCATCAAACATTCAGGCACTATTGTTCTTTGCAGCAACGTCTGTGTTTCCACAAAGGAGGAGTCGGCTAATGTTTCCTCATAAGGGACATAAATATCTTTGCTCTTCTTTGGTAAAAAAAAAATACTTTGATGCATAAAAGTGAAAGTAACACCGCGTACTTTGAAGTAAAAGTGGTACAATAATGCAGCCCAGCTGCTACATATACAACCAATCAAATTTCTGTTAAGGAGCAAAGCTATTGCAGTATGTTGAGGGCTGCACTGCTGTACCCTCCCCGAAACACTAGCGTAAAATCCAAACACAGTAAAGATTTTTGCTCTCCCTCCTGTCCATAACAGCAGAATAATGCAGTCCATGTCTGCAGTCAGACTGCAGTGCTACTTTGATTGGATGGTGTACTTTAGAAAAGGTGAGGGGCCAGAGGATCAAAAGTGGGATCAGGCTTTGAACAACATCACGCATGAAATAAATCTAAGCACGGCTTAAAAATACATACCAACATTTTCAACGGTAAACCAGTCCTGTCATCTATCAAAAAGGAAAATCCACTCCATTCCACAACTTCTTATTTTCTGTTTAAAGTTATTCGTTGCTGACTAATGGAATCAAAAGATGGATCAATCAGCTTTCATTTTATCTATCTGTATAAAAGCAGCCCTGAACATAAGGCCAACAAGAAAAGAAAATGTACAATCTGGACAAAGGTCACTTAATAGTAAGGAAAAAATACACCTGTAAAACATTATGACCCATTTGTGATGATTAAAAAAAAACTGGTTTGGTGCTCAGCTGTAGATGTTTTTCTTTTAATCCCTCCGTTCCTGTAGATCATAAACTCTCTTCTAAATGTGGGAAAACAAAACATATGAGACATGTAAATGAGATCTGGGCAGCAGAGGGTAAGCAAGCAGCCATCCACGGGGAAGATCAGCATCTAACAAGTTTTAAGTGATGTAGCTTTATAAACTTAACGGATGAAAAAATACACAACAGATGTGGAAGCTACGTGTGTGCATGACAATGTCCACAGACTGATGGGTCTCGTGTCACCTCTGTGTTACCTTGAAAGCGTATTTTCGGTTTATGTGGTCATCGGGCTCAACGGGTGCAATGACATAACTGGGCAGGGGGATGCTACCGAGCACCGTTTCCTCTCGACTGTCTGCAAAGCAAGAGGCCACGCACACAAACACAGAATATTGTTACAGAGGTCCAAAACAATATCCGATTCTGCCAAGATCATTATGCATTGTTCTCAAGTGAGGGCAGATTTACGAACAGCAGGAAAATGAGCGAGGCATAATTCATGGGTGACTCTTGTCTATACGAGGCCATGTGGCAGCTTGGTGCCCGATTTGGCATGTGGTTTATCTATTATTCAGGATGATTAATGGGGGAGAGGAGATAGGTGCTATGGCAACACAAGCAGAGATTAAGTCCCATAATAAAGAACTCAAATTAATAGTGTAGGAGAAGTTGGGGGACGTAACAGAAGGGGGCCAGTATGGGATGTCTCAAATCTACGCACAGTTTTGCATTTATCACAGTGACAGATCACCAGAGGTCTGCAGATGTGATTTCACAACTGTCCACTAAGCTCGGACCCAGTGCACTTTTAACAGACTCACCTTTGTAGTAAAACAAGCAGTAGTCCGACAAAACAAACCACTTCCGCTTCCACAGTCGCATTCCAGAGCTGTCCTGGAGGTAAAGAGGGAATAACAACACACAGTGTATTTAGAATCCCTCCTCTCACTTCTCATCTCAATTCACAGTTCAATTAAAAAGAGTAGTTTGGGAATAGTGAGCTTGTTAGCTCGAGTGAGGAGAAGGCTGCAGCCTGTGCATATCATTAGGACAATAATTGAATTTCTTCGTCCTCCTCTTGTGGCACTTGGCTGCAGTCTGCACAGTGCACACAGCTCTGCAGAGGTGCGTGGTTCTTTCCTACTCTCCAGGATTATGTGATGAAAAGTGTTTCATACAGGCTATCTTCCTTTCCCAAAGCATTGAGAGTTTTGTGCGACGCCATATTTCAGAGGTCTATATCTAAAGAGCTAATAAAGGAAATCGGTCCTACCTATGGCAATAAGACTCTATAACTCATCTGCCTCTGTCAGGGCCTCAATCACAGAACTGGACTAATCTTAGGACTGCACAGTGCTTATTTTTTACTTGTACAATATTGTATCTTACTACGGGGCGGCTACGGCAACCAAAGTTCCCTTTGGGGATGACTAAAGTTATCTATCTATCTATCTATCTATCTATCTATCTATCTATCTATCTATCTATCTATCTATCTATCTATCTATCTATCTATCTATCCTGCGGTCATGTTACTGCTGTGGGAGACTTCAAAGTTTCACCATTCGTGGCATTTCCTATGTGACAGTCTGTGTTTGGGCTCACAGTGTCAACAGCAGCAGAAGGAGCTGCGCTTACCTGCTTATAAAGCCAGCCTCTCACCACCACTGGGATGTTGAGGTTTCTTTTAATAGCATGATCCCTCTTGCCAAAACTGTGTACTTTCCCCGTTCCTCTGGTGCCCTGCGGGAAGCAGACAAAACCACAAACAGTTAATCGTGTACTAGCTTTGATGAAGGACTGCGGGCCAATTTGCTCTGCTTATCCAAGATTACAGTGGCTAACAGTGAATATCGTGTTCACATCAGCACTGCACACCCCGGTGCAAAGGCTACATTTGCAAACTTTAGATGAACCGAGTGGTCTTCTGAAAATACCGTAGCGGCCATATTTCCTGGAACTCCTTTTTTTAACACCGATGAAGAGAAGAGGAAATACCAACTGGCTATTTCTGTAGACACATGCATTTACTTGTAATCTGGCAGAGGCCACTAATTTTCCCAGGTGCTTTGATTACAGATTTACATGGAGCTGTTGGACAAAAACAGGCAGAGGGCTGAAAATGTATTCATTTTATTTCAAATCATTAACTTGCCACTGTTCATATGAAAATAATGCTCACACTGGTAATTTCCCAGTGTGAGTTTGGAAAAAAGTGACATATAGCAGTACTTAAGTAAGTTGGCTTGTGTGTTGTTGGTCAGGGTTAAGGCAAGTTGAATCAGTTCCCAAGGCTGCTACAATCAAGAATCACACATTGGATGAGAGCCAGCTTGAACATGAGCTGTCATTGCTTTGTGAAGTTCTATGCTGGGTTTCTTTGATATCTCTCTCCATGGCGACTACCACGTAAACAGAAACACATCCATTTCCACCAGATGTGTATGTCACTGTCAAAATGATAAATTAAAAAAATACTTGTCTGTTTGTCAATGTAAAACTTATGTTAATCATTCAATCATTTCATCATTACCAATAAAATACAGCAAGGTAGCTCCTCGAACAATTCACTAAATGAAAATATTCAATTCAAGTCGGGAATTGAAAGAAAAACTATTTAGTTTTATACTTCATATAATAAATCATGTTTCAAGCACCCATCTTAATGTCATTTCAGATGCATAAAAGCAAAATCTCCTTTTCATACAGCTGGATTCTGCAGAAGAGGTCCTCACCTTTGACCCTGGGGTGGCATCCACTGCTGCTGACGTCCCAACCTTGGAGGACTCTGTGACCATGCTGGGCGATCTCTGATGGGCCGCTGACTTTGACATACGGGACTCCAGTCTGAGTATGAGACGTAAATGTAGAACAGAATTGGTAACACAGCCCAGAACAATGATGTTGCTCCTTAATCACCACAGTCACATGTAGTGAAACAGCACAGTCCCATGCTGAGCCTTCAAAAATAAAGGATATGACTATTTCCTGACATCAGCGTGAAAGCTGTCGCAGCCAATAGTTTCCCAGTGTCTGAGTGAGCAGTGGAAAACTAACTCCCATATGACTCGGCCTTACCTTTACCCCACGCATGATCAAACAAATTGCGCCACAAAAACACTCACACTTTTAAGGAAAATGAAGAGACAAGTTTTCTATTTCATCACCTTTTTGGGAACCTTAAAAAACAAGCATAGAAAGAATGATAGCCCAGGCTGTTCTATTTTCACCCCACAAGAAGTTGTCAAATGACTCATTTTACAGATCATATTATTTTCCAAACTGGGAAAGTGGCTGATCTCCGTCCAAAAAATGATGACTGGCTTGTACTCATTTTATATTTATGTGTCCGTACCATCCACCTAACATATCAGTTGTCAATGGTATCACAGCACCGGTTTAATATTTAATACATTAAATTGAGCTCCCTGTCTTTCAACCGTTTTTGACCGTATATCCATAGAGGTCTGGTGTGTTTAAGTAAATTTCACTTTCATGCTGTCATTTATTATAATTCTCTTAATTCATTTTTCTACTCTTACAGCCAAACAGCGACCTAAGGAGATGTAAAGTAATATTCAACTGGCATGTATGGTATATGTACCACAGTCACTAGAGGAAAAAAAAAGAAAAAAAGCATGCCCGTAAAATTCTACAAACTGACTTTCATCCACACAAAACACCGTCGCCAAGAACTCTTCCTGAAATACTGAAATAATTTAATTATTGTGTCTTTACATGATGTTACATCACGTATTTTCAAAGACTTGCATCAGATCCTCCGAAAAGAAAAAATAGTTTATTGTTTAAATTTAAACTTGATAAAAAGACACAGTTCAGTACCCTACTTTCAACAGTTACTTCACTAACAACTCATAACATCCTAAGTTTCAAGTCAGTGCGAAACAAATAAGAAGTTAGAACGATATTAAGGACACGTCGGAAGTTCAAATTTTTTATGGAACTGAACATCTTGCAAAACTCACTGAATGTGGGTAGAAGCCAGGCATCTTTTATTTGTTCTATCCTTTTACAAAGAATCACAACAGATTTTCCAAACATAAATCTGGTGAGCGTCCTGTAAAACATCATCTCAAAGATGCTGCTGCGCTAGCTTAAAATCTGGAGATGTATTATAACAACAGCTACAGACTGCCAGCACCAAAGGCCAATTGAGTTGAAACTCTCTCTCTACACTTTAATTCCTCTGTGAATGAGTTACTTTTTGATTGCTTTATAAACTATAGCAGCCTGAACCTGACTGATGATCAAACCTATCCAACATTTATTAGAATTTTATATCACATTAGCGAAGACTACCTCCTGATAAGGCTTCAAAACTCCTACTTTGACCATTACAGTGCCTGGTTCTTGGCAGGAGGTAACAGACATGCAGCGACGAAAAACTATGTGACCTGAAAACACCACCTAACGCTCAAGCTTTGCTCCACAAGGGGATGGACAGCAGCAGTGGCGGTGTGCTGTCTTTCATGCCTTCACTAAACTTCTTAGAGGGAAAACTAGAGCAGGTCAGTGTGAATGTCTGGGAGTATAGCAAAAAATAAATAAATAAGAGAGAGAGAGAGAGAGAGAGAGCGAGAGAGGCCATAACCTGCAGTGACCGAACACTCACAGCTTGGACAGCGTCCAGTGTTTTTACAGGATGTGCCTGTCGTATGAACGGGACACGGCTGCTTTATGTGAAGCTTTCATTCTGTTTACCACCAGTGTCATTGGAACAGTTCCCTGGGAGATTTGTTGTGGCGTGTGGATGAGCGGAGCCATATTTCACATCAAGTAGTATAAAAAAGGGGGAGGGGGGTGGGGGTGCACTAGGCTCTGTCCTGCTGTTTTCTTGCTATGATGGAAATGAAACCACACTGCATCTGACATCTTTAAAATCCTTTCAGGCTGTGGGTGTACACAAGAGGAGTTAATTAATTGATCACAGTGTAATAATCTATAAAGGAAACCAAAGGCTCGAGGCAAATAAAGCACAGGCTGATCAAACTCTGTGAAGGGAGGGGCCTCCTGAAGCTTCTTCCTGCCCTGCAGATGTTTTCAATCCGATTCAAATGTCCTGGGAGGGCACCATGTTTTTCCTTAGATTGAGGGAACCCGCATTGTATACATACACTATGGAGGCGTGGAACGGCTGAGCACGCAACACAAACAGAAACCTTCAACATTATCGTACACTATATTCTTGAGAGTGGAAAAACATATCCAAACAGAGAGAAGGTGAGCTAAACAAGCAGCTCACTCTGAGCTTTCTTCCATCGGTAAAAACTGTTATTTTTCATCCCGGACATATTTGAGGCATAATCTGTTGCCATGAAATATACTTCAAAATGCCTAAATACAGATTCCATAAAAAGTGTAGTATTATATATATGATCTGTGATTAAAGTTAGTCTTTGAGAAATTAAGTTGTTCACATTTACAACATCCTAATTTAAACAAGCAGCACATCATTAATGATCAATGTTAACCCATATGATTAAATTACTGCTGTTTTTCCACTTAAACAAACTTAGACAAACTCATCATGCTGTTGTGCTGTGGGTATAAAACTCATGCTATTCTTACCAGTGTGCGCTCATACAGATTAGAACTGTAATTACTGTACTGAAAATGTACAAGTGAAGTAAGAGTCATTTTAAACCTTCTTGATGGTATGCAAATCCGTGGCTCAGCAGAACTGAAAGGATTGTTCAAGTGGAATGCAGGGGAATAACATCAAGAGACTGAGCAGACCACATGCTTTGTCTCGCCACGTTTCTGCCGATAATGGAAAATCTTCACAATGCAGGATCATATTACAGCAGCCACCTTAAAATGCCATCAGACACCTGCTGCCTCCTACAGCGCTCTAAATCTGCTGTGTTGACTTGATACTTTGCAGGATTATGATTCTCGCAACAACATAAAAATTCTAATAAATCCCGCCTGCATTCCATGCGGACGTGTGTGGTGGTGAAGGAAGACATCAAACAACATTTCTTCTGTCATTCTAAGACCCGGTCTACATGGGCATTTCAACAAATGAAGATGCTTTTGTGTGTTTTCACATGCAGATTAATGGTCTTACTCCCCGTAAAACAAATATTCTATAAACAGTTTATAGTGCAATACAGACAGGGGAAGGGCTTTCTGGCTCTCTGAATGTGTGCTGCTATCCTCTTCATTTTACATTAGAATTTGTGCTTTTCTGCACTGTGTTGACATGGAAATGGGAAGCAACAGCAGCAAATAGTAAACTTGTTCACAGGATGTTTTACATGTTTCCACATAAATATTCAGTTGCTGGATCATCAGAGCTCACACGACTGATGCTTTAGCCGGTGGGACAACTTTTACAATGAAGTGGTTGTCAGAATGAGAAAGATTTTCTCATTTTTGAGTGAGATGCTTGTCTCACACACTGAAAAAAGGACAACAGCAGTGCGATCTTCTGTGGGAAAAGTTATAGTGCAGTACAGTACAGTGCAGACACTGTACTCTTTTAGCAGTCAGAGTTGTCACAGCAGTAAAGGTAAGTAAGTGTTCTTTTTATGCAGTCGAAATATCTCTATTTGTCTGTTCAAGACATTATGATTGGGAAAAGTCTTTTTTTTACCTCAACTAAATTAAACCAAAAAGCACGAATTTACCCAAATACATGTAAACATTACCTCAACTGGGATGATCAAAGAGTAATTTTCATAACTTGAGATGTTACATGAAAGCATCTAAAAATACATCAGTGTGAGTTCATTACCATACAGACTGTTAAGGCCATAATATGAAAAGAAGTCAAAATATCCTAACATGTTATTCCAGAGATATATACACATACACATATAGATACACATAAAAAACAAACAGTGCTGATACTTACTTGTGCCCTGATTGTGACTCCAGGTTATTTCACTGATGAACAGTTATTGAAAGTCAGCTGTTTCACTAGTGCTGATGACACACCTCCCACACCCCTCACAATATGCTTTATGGAGCATAAAAGAGGCCATTCATCCTCTTGAACCTCCATCATCAATTTTTTAAAAGTCCTTTCCTTACACAAGTAAGCATGCAGAACAAGAAGGAGCTCACCTGTCTTGTAACGTGTATTCTGTGTTTTCGGGTGAAATCTGTCCACTTACAGGATGCCGAAATGATGTGGTCCTCTGGTTGTGGCTGCAGTAAAGAGAGAGACCACACAAAGGGAGGAAAACAAACTATATTATAATCAAATTAAAGAAACCATATTTCTTCATAAGCAATTACTATCGTAATGTTGCATGTTGGCCGGTCACAGTCCATATTCTTTTTTGCACAAAGTGTAGGCTTCAGCAGTCTCTCCAACCAGTTCACCAGGCTTCCAGGCTTTATTGATTTCAACTGGATGAGGTCATTCATCGCTTTGACCGGGCATCAATGCATGTTACTGTCACATAAAACGATAAGAAACAGTGGCCAATGATAGTATGGCTGAAAGTCAAATAACTACATTAGTATTTGTTTGAAACTGTGAAGTATGCACTGTGAAGTAGTCACTGAACACATTTTTGAGCACATGATATTTTTTCTGTGCATATATTCTCTGACACAAATATATTAATAAACCCCTTTTTATAACCATTCACTTCTAAAGGTTTGGGGAAAAAACTTGTTGCATGCGCATTTTTGTGTGTGTCAAACACAAATAAATGTAATAAGTATCATAAGTGTAATAAGTGTAAGTGTAATTTTAAGTGCGACCGAAACAGGACACAGAAAACAGTAATAGTACTAGTAGTGATAGTGATTTATTTAACTGTACATGGCACAAACTTGTATAAATGATTGCAAAATGTATTGTGCAGAGATTCTTGTCATAAGAAAAGAAAACTAGCAGTGAAGTCTTGATTGTTTTGATTTTGTTTTGAACAGTAGAGAAAAAAAATGTATTGAACTAATGTTAGTGAAATATATTATTTCTCCAAAGTGGCCCTTATTTTCCTCTTATTTCCCTCAACCATATTCTGTGCTTTGCTCCAATTATCAAGTAGAAAACACATCTCAGGTTTTTGTTTTTTCCCTAGACAGCAATGAATGAAGAATAAATGTGCATTAAGCCTTTTTGAGACACACAGATAAAAGATTCGGCTCAGGAGAAAATGCATATACAATCTTCACTTTAATAACAAAAACATGAAAATGATGAATATTCATCCAGTACCAAAGAATCCTCTTAAGGACAGCTGCAGAGTTTTAGTATCTGTAAAGGCACACCCTGACACTCACACAGAGTGGTTCCACGCTGCATCACCATGCAGCAGAGGGAGGGAAATTAAACTGAGCAGAGTGGAAAGACCTATGCGCTGACATTTCAGCAAAGTTCAGAGGGAACGATGCAATTCTGCACAAACCAAAACCATGACATCAACAATAAACAACCGACAAATGACTTCCTGCATATCGTGCCCTCACAAAAACATCACCACGCTCACAGACTTCATCCATGCTAACAAGTCATAATATGCTGAGCTGCACTGGGCGCTCACGGAATTGTACGATCATCCCATGTCAATTAAGAATCTGGATTCTTTGAGGCTTTTGTTTTAGCCGCATTATTTCTGAACTATTTGTCATGGAATTTGCAGCATCCCCAGCAAGTGGTACAAGCACTGCAGTACAGAAGGCCTATTTATTTGCAGAGTTAGCTTCCATTAAAGCTAGTGAGGACGCCGGCTCTCTGGGGAAGATACCCTCCTTCTGTAACACACCGCCTTCTGGATGATGTTGAGAAAGAGTTTTGTTTTTTCTAAGTGCAGCTGCCAAAACTAAAAGGTACCATACAGTATTCTGAACAGCAGCACTGCACAAACCATATACTGCCAGTACTAAAATATTCCTAAAACGTTTAGAACAACACTGAAATGATATAGTTGCAGACCTCTACTTTCTAAACTGGGGCTCGGCCACAAATACACCACGTAACAGTGCAGGAGCACCAACAATCAGGTCAAGCACAGGTTCTGCTTCAAGACTCATAATGAGGACAAAGAATGACGGGCATCCCATTAGGCATTTATGAGGCATATTTCAGTGCCGCACTTTCAGCCTAGAAAAGAAGAGAAATGGATGAGTAGGAAAAAAAACCCTGACTGTATTCTGACCTTGTGCTCTGACCTCTCGAAGCAACAAAAAATAATAATTTTAGAAAACTACTGTCTTTTAAAGTAAAGGGATGCAAACAGGGGGGGCTGTCTGGTTTTAATTTCATATGGTTAAACTCAAATAATAAGAAGTTGTTCCTATTATTTAAGCATTATGAACCAGAGTTTAGATGCATGGCTCAGGGGTAAAATGCCAGAGCCATTTTCCACCAAAAGACATGTAGCTTGGGATAATCCCCTTCCAATTTAAGCACAGAGTCCTCACAGAGGGACAGCAGAACTAAAGCTCTGCAGGCTCAACACCTCAGCACCAGAAACACTACACAGCTGCTCCACAGCGCACACTCGCTGTGACTCATGAACGACACCACCCACTTCAAGCGTCCACTTCAATTTAGACAACTTACCCCCATGAAAAGGAGCCTCCCGGTGCAAGCACGTCGCCCTGCCTGTGTTAACCTCCCTCAATGCCCCGCTGTACAATCCTCACCTGCTGTGAGACGGTGAATCGTCCGGGTCTGCTGTGAAGTTCACGGGAAATCCTCCTGGAATCTAACGTGGCAGGTGAAAGACGTGGGGAGAGCGCCTGGAAGCAGCTGACTTCCACAAAGTGCGGCATAAATGGAAGCCGGCAGGATGCGGGCTGAAGGGGGAGCTCTCATTCCCCACTTTTAGCTGCTCACGCGAGCAGATGGAGAGACCCATCGCCCTGCCATCAGGGGAATGCCTCAGAGGATTATCAGGTCCTCCTCCCTTCCCATTTTCTTCACCCCCTCTTTCTCGCAGTTACCAAAACCTCACCTCTTCCACTTGCCTGCAAGATGTGGGGCAGCGATTAAAGAGAACAAACAGCACAATTCCTTCCCTCATCAATAAGAATTTGTCCTTGATAATCACATTTTTTTCCTTTGATATAAATTATGTCACAATCTCTCAATAGATTCTAGTCAAGCAGCTTTGCTGATAGTTTTCTCTGACTGCAGTTTAACTTCAGGAGATCCCGTCAAACAACGGTAAGCAGTAGACTGTCTGGATCAGGAACATTTAACATGAACACTCAAATTCCTCTTAAATTACCACAATATTGCTGGGGGAAAAAAAGACAGAAAACTAAATTAAACAACGGCACTTTTAATTGAACTGGCCTTAACTATATTTTAATTATTTTTTACCTAGTGAGGTTAATGACAATCATGTTCTCAGTTATAGTTGCAAAGAAGGCAAATGAGCCTGATCCATTATTCATTGTGAAAAACTCAGTTTTACAAAGGGGAGCCGCCAACAGACACCTCATTCCATCAGCATGACAAACATGCATTCTCTATGCCCTCTTTAACCTGCAGCAGGTCATGGGGGTCAGAAGCTTATCCTTGATGTAATAGAGTGAGAGACGAGGTAAGCCCTGGACAGGCAGCCAGTCCATCATAAAGGTAACATGGAAAGACACACAACAGTGCACACCGACAATTCCTTCATCCTAACTCACACATAACAGGCTCCTCAAGTTCTGTGTGAGCTTCTAGCACCAGTTTTCTGCACACCGGGTACCCCCGTTACCATTTCTACAAACAAAGGGGCTTGCGGTTTTCCTTCAAACCATATTTCTTCATTTTGGCCCCCTTTGCTTTACTGAAACTCTGTTTTGTTACACAGTATATAAGGTTGGTTAAGGTGAAGAAACTATCGCAGATACGTGCAAAAGCAGAGACAATGCGTTCTGTTGCAAAAACATTGACATAGATTGCCAAGATGACATCCCTGTGTCAGTGTGTCTCAAGTTGGTTGTAGGAATATGTTGTGTGTTTGTCTGTGTGGGTGTGTTAGGTGGTCGGTTACAGTTACGTGGAAACATCAACCATGTGCAAGAACATGATAATGCATCCAAAGACTGAGACACTGCTGGTCCAGGAATACCTGCACATATATTTCTGGGTTCAGAATTCCCACAGTGGATTCCGAGTGCCAGTAAAACACTTATTACACCAGCTAAAAGAGCCTGCAAGTGTTTGCGTTACATGATTCCACTGTTGCCACGTGAAATCAGCTCAGCTTCACGCAGTCTTTACCCAGAGGGCGCAGCTAAAAAGAGCGGGCACATCTCTGTGTCTTTACTGGAACACAAGTTTACAGATGGTATTATCTGCAGTCTGATGGGTTGATAGGGCTGTCCCTGGACCCGTTCGGATTCAATCTGAGAACAGTGTCAGACATGCGAAACAGGCTGCGTTCAGCCGAATTCCAGTGCACACACAACTCTGATTCCTCAACTGTTCTTAGCTGTATTAAAAGATAGGCCTTAACACAGATTTCCAACCACATCCCAAGTCAATATCCTCCAATTATACTAATAATCATTTCATTAGGTTAAGTTGCTGACTTAAATTCCAAACTCTTAAATGAGCTTTATTAAAAGCAATTTCAGCATGAATTATATGCTTCAGAGAGTATAAAAAAATATAACTCAAGGACTTCATATATGCACTACCAACAGGTCAAATGAGTCGGTGCGAGCGTTAGCTGTACCCGACCTATATGCCACAGAGTGCAATTTAATATAAAATAATGGGAAATAGATAGCTATTAGATCATTAAAGGTAGAAACCAACTATACTAGTACTGGTTTGTACACTGCATCCAGACAAAGAAGAATATTAATGAGATGAGCGTTCAGCAGCAGGATATCCACATTCTTACTGCCCATTATTCCTTTCATAAAGGAACAATGCAGCAGCTTGGAATGGCAGCATTTCAATGCAATTTGCCAAAAAAGCTACTTTGGCACTCTCCACAAGAGAGTTTTGATTCTGAAAGATTGCACTGTGACGCAGTACAGAAACCAAAGATACCAGCTTTACTCATGCCGTTTTTTTTTCCCTCCTCACCAGTGTTCGGAGGCACAGCAGACACAAGCCGTGTTGACAGTATGACACGGTGTCAAAAGCCCACTTCAGGATGGCTCCGTCTCAACACATGTGTTTGGCCTGAAATAGGATGAGGGGCTGTGTTGGCTTACAACAAACCATTGAGGCTAGACTG